CTCATGGTCTTCAATATTAATGAATCATCATAGCTTTGTCATCCAACTGACAAACTAAGAAATTGGCCTGCATGTTATTTTTTAACACACAGGGGAGCCTGAGTCTTTATCGCTGAAGCTGACCTGATAGATGAGCTCTCTGAGGATTTCGCAGCAGAAACCTGTAAGATGTTATAAATGGATGCCGTGTTTCTTATCCAATTTGCCAAATCATTGGTTTTAAAATTTGCAAGATTGAATGTGCAAATTAGAGTGTTCTTAGATAAAATTAGTATTCTGTGTTTTCTCTGGTTGCACGGAAGCATCAATGGGTTTTATTTAATGGCTCGTCAGTATATACGGCTGACTTTTGGTGAAGACTAATGAGGTAAACAGAGACGACACCACGGTGACACTGCTGCAGAAAGCATGGAGAACCACATATATGTACCAGCCGTCTGTCTCTCTGTGTGGATTATGAATGCCCACAGGTAGGAGTACCATGTTGATGTCATCAGGAGGCTCTGAAAGAGAGACTCTCTGTAGTTCTCTCCATCAGCCAAACGATTCATCACGGTGCAGCTGCAGTGCGATTTAAAACTGTCAAACATTCTTGATGCATGCAGCTTGAATTTTATCAATCGATCACAACTGCAGGAGGATGAAAAAAAACATAAACACTATAAATTGAAATGATAAAATTAAATGCCCCAAAAAGAGAAGGTCTGCATGTTACTGGAAACTGGGGAAAAACTGCCTGCACTCACTTTTATAAAGTTATTGCATAACTGTCAAGAGGCCTATGGGTCAATGGGCACATTTGAAATGACAATAAAAGAAAATGCTGTCGACTCAGAGCTTTGCACAACATCCTCTTGGGAGAGCATGTGTGTGTTTACAAGCATGCCTGTGTACTGTGAGGGAGAGAGCGGAGAAGTTACTAGTAACTGAAGAATTATAAGAATGAAGACCAAAAGAAAAAAGTTAAGGGATGAGAATTTATGCAATTTTTTTTTAAAGTTATTAGAAGAGGGGTAGCTACTTATTTCAACATCTGGCCTATTTTCCATTTGAAAAAATATTGCATGCTGACCTTGCAGTCAAAGTCAGTTTTGGAGATCGTCCATTTTCTTCCTTGTGATAGGTCAGGGGCGTTACAGCATGGACGCTTAAGTTTTCTGGGGGCATATTCTTGTCTAAAGGTGGAACAATAGTTGCTCAAGGAACAGTGACGTTGTGCATTTCAAGCTGTAAAGGAAACAAACAAAAACACTGAGGTTTAAATAGTTGTGCTGTGGGGATGAATATGTTTTCAAATTACTCTTCAGGGACCATCACGTTGTGTCCTTTATCGTACAAACATAGAACCTTGAAATAAAGCATTTATCTGCAACAGAAAATATGTGTTGATAGAAAAATAATTCAGCCAGAGACAGCTTGTTCACGTGGGCTGAAAGGGTTCAGCCTTTGGTTTCTTTTACAATAAAGATAAGAAAATTATTCTTTAAATAACTTTAAACTAGTTGTTTTAAATTTGGGTGGAACCAAGAGCAGCAATTTAACCTAATAGTTACAAGATAAACACACAAGATCTCAAGGTGGGATTGTTTGTTACAGCCTGAGCCCTGAAGCATCCTCCTCCAATCACTTCAGTTTGTTAATGAGTCACAGGTGTCATGGCACCCCCTATTTAAACCCTGTAAATAAAATGCAACGTTCTTTGGTTAAAGTGACCACAATGTTACTTCTAGACAAGGTCTCTGTGTAGAGTTTGCATGTTCTCCTCGGGCATGTTGCCTCCAGGTAGTCCAGCTCGTTAGGTTAACCGGTGACTCTAAATTGCCCGGTGTGAATGTGAGTGTGGCTGGTTGTCTGTCTCTATATGTCAGCCCTGTGATTGACAGGTGAACAGTCCAGGGTGTAACTCCGCCTCTCGCCCAATGATAGCTTGGGTCAGCTCCAGCCTCCCCCGATCCCGAACCGGAAATAGAAAACAACACTGAAGACTCCAGAGGTTCTCTTTGAAAACAATATTATTTTATTTTGTATTTTATAGGTATTGTTATATACATGGCATAATTTGTGCTTTTTTATTATCAAGAATAAAAACATAAGGGAACACATCAGAAAATTAAACTTTAAACCAGGGTTGAACTGTTCTTTTTCAGCTGGATATACTGAGAGTTTTACAAAACCAGGAGGAGGAGGAGGAGGTGGGGAGGGGACGGGAGAAAGACAGGAAACTTAATCGATCGATAGGTAGATTGATAAATAGATTTTTCCAGAGACGCTTGCAGATGGTCCACTGAGGGTAGTGTGAACGTTCAGACTGTGATGTGCTTTTACCAACAGCAGCAAAGGCACCTGTGTTTCACTTTGTTTAAAAAAGAAAAAGAAAGTACGCCTCAGGGCCTTAATCCAGTTGAGTCCATACAAATTAAACCAAATCCATACATAAATTCCTCAGGGGTGATTTCCGTCACAAAAAATTAGCAGATTTTCTCTGATTTCCAGCCATCGCAGAAGGTTGGGCTAAAGATTTGCCAGCTTGAGGCCCTTCAGTCGATCCCCCTGTGGAGGCTGATTGAATATAGAAAAACTAACCTCGGGAATTATATTGTGAACCATCTTGACTTTTCTTGCTTCTGTTGCAGATCCTCTGAAAGGGGGGAAAAGTGTGAGGTGGAAGGGATATTTGACCTGATACTTGACTCTGGGATGGCCAACAGGGATTCAAATGGAAGAAAAGCCAAAATATCATGTGAAGAATTCAAAATGAGATGCTTAGATTTGAAGAGACATTGTTAAGTGGGCTCTGATACCTACATGTCAGTATTGGCCAATAGAGTGGGACCCAATAGTTATTCAATTCAACATTATCTGGGTTATTTGTCGGAAAAAGCTTTGGCTACATAAAACTCTGAAGTAGCACGTTGATATTTGATTGATGGTAATTAATGATGGTTTAGCCGGACAAGTTGACTGGGGAGCTTGGAATACCCTCTATCACATTATAGGCTGTATAACGATACCAGATTTGAAGCTTTGACTTGATATTAGTAGAAATCAAAGAAATATTGATACCTGTTTCTATACCACAGCTACAATTCCAAGTTATCAACACCCAATATTCCTCAAAGGTCACATATGGTCCTATTCTTTAACCAGTTTAAATAATTCTCTGAGCTCCCCAAAATATTTATTGTTTTAAATCCACTCTGATCCTGTATTTGATCATGCCTATAAACCCCTCTATTTCAGCGCTGCTCAGAACAGGCTGTTTCTGTGTCTGTACCTTTAAATGTAAATGAGCTGTGTCTGACCACGCCCCCTCTCTGGAAGGGCTTGGGTGGCTTGGACTTTCTCGCTCCATGCCCTATTGTTTACTGCGAGAAGGCAGACTCAGAGGGCAGAACAAACACCTAGCTGTGGGAGTGTCACCCACCTGGGGGAGGGGTTACTGCCCTTTGTGATGTAATGAAGGGAAAATCTCCAAACAGCCTGTTTGAGCACACATTTTCTGAAAAGTGGAGCAGGCAGAAGACAGAGAGGATGGACTTTTCTCATCAATGGGGGGTTTGTTTGACGGACATATTAGTGTTAGAAAAACATGGTAAAATGTACTCTGAATAATATGTGACCTTTAAGTTCTTGGCAAACTCCTGCACACTGTCTTACTTGCACAAATTCATTGGTAACATTTTGAAATGTTGCTGATGTATTTGTGCTAATTAAACCATACTTTCTCTCTTTTGCTCGCAGCAGCTGATGGTTAGAAATTGTGGCCAAATATCTAATTTAACTTTAAAGTATTTGTTCTTTTTTGATACTATCATTTATTAAAATAACGACTATTTAATAAGGCAGATTATTGGTCCAGTACTGGAAGCGGTATCGAAAAGACATTTGTCATTTTGAAGTGTTCAGTTAGAAAATGAATGACGGAGTAAACAGTTGGAAAGAAGACAGGGAGTGTTGAGGATGCTGAGAAGCAGAAATCTCAGGTAAAAAAACAGCATGGATGGCAAGCAGACAAAGACATAAACAGCAGAGCGTGAGCCCAAAGCAGGAATGTCTCAGTCAGTAGGTTCACATACACAAGTGAGCTACGGTTATAGCTCGATTAGGCCATTTAATTGGAATACTGACTGTCCTTTTCGCCATAACAAGACTGATTACTTCCAGCCATCGATGGACTGCTGCTCTGCTTAGTCAGGTTTTGCCACAGCCACTCCTCTTGTATTTCTTATTCAACTAGCTGTTTTGTCTCTACTGGAAAAAAACACTTTGTATGCCCTGATACACTTCTCAGAGATGCAAATCAAAAGCTGTTGGACAAAACTCTGAGGGCGGGAAAAACTTCTATGGTAAGCCTGAGACTGGTTGTATTCTCTCACACATTTATTACATTTTCTTCATTGAACTTAGCCACTTCCTCTCTACGTCTTCCTCCATCTCCCTGCTCTGCTGATCAGCTGATTATTGGTGTTTACTGTTTAAGTAATGCACCAACCTAATTGTGTCACGGTCTCTCTTAACCAATCATCCTGCTGCTGTCACATTATAAAACCTGTTCTCTCTCTTACACAGTCAGTCTGTCATTTCAGTGTGATCGCTGCGACCCTCCTCCGCCCCGGTGACCTCCATTCAGAATCAGCAGAGTTCAGATACAGCGTCAGAAACCCACTCCTCATCACATCCTGTAGTCTTCTATCACCACCACCAGCGTCTAGACTCCAAAAGGGGGTATCACCACCACCACCAGCGTCTAGACTCCATCAGGGGGGTATCACCACCACCAGCGTCTAGACTCCATCAAGGGGGTATCACAACCACCACCAGCGTCTAGACTCCATCAAGGGGGTATCACAACCACCACCAGCGTCTAGACGCCATAGGGGGGTATCACCACCACCACCAGTGTCTAGACTCCATCAGGGGGGTATCACCACCACCACCAGCGTCTAGACTCCATCAGGGGGGTATCACCACCACCACCAGCGTCTAGACTCCATCAAGGGGATATCACCACCACCACCAGCGTCTAGACTCCATCAGGGGGGTATCACAACCACCACCAGTGTCTAGAATCCATCAGGGGGTATCCTATTCTGCTGTTGCCCTCACTATCCCTCAGAAAGCATGAAGTCATCATGGCGGAGTGTAATCGCAAAAGACATTTCCTAATGTGTTAAATAAAAATTCAACTCTTAATTAAGTCTCTCCTGATTGATTGAAAATGTTTTACTTGTCTGGTGGAAGAAGGACATTTTTTGTCCAGTCATACAAATGGAAGAAGCGTGTGGTCGGAATAACTTCTTATTTTTTAACGGTCTCGTGCTTCTTCCTGCAGAGACAGACCAAAATAACTAGAGCACAGAGAAACTATAAAGAACAGCAGCAGGGAAATATGAGAAAGATAAGTGAAATGACCAAGATACCAAGCGATAAGCAGGAAGCAGTTAAGATTTGATCTGAAGGAAATAAAAACCACAGAAAAGTAAAGGTAAAAAGTGACAAACTGGGGAAAAAATGAGGGAAAAGCAAGGAATGCAAGGTTAAATCACCATTATTTGCATTTGTCATCCAATGAAAACGGGGTTTGGGAGCCTTTTCACTATCAGGTGCAGATTAATGTGGAAGAGTCACATATCAGTGTTTGGATTGAAAGACTAGAGAGGGAGGTGGGGGAAGGCCTTTCTGGTATAGATTGGTCCGTTAGCTAGCCTTAGCTTCCCACTAGACTAAACCATTGTCTGATTTACTTGTAAGCTACCCATAGGGCTAAACCAAGGTCCACACGAGCTCTGTTTGCTGACTTCTCCATGTCCTCGTCTCTGCTGGCGTGTTTGCAGTCCATTATCGTATCTGTTTATTTCCCAACAAAAGCAGACACATTACATGACACATTTTGGTTATACAGTTAACAAACAACTCACTATTGTTGTAAATGAGTTTGTTGTTCCCAGATAACCCCCAATTATTTTCCATGTGGCTTTCAAACACCATCATGGCAGCAATTCAACAATTTTAAAGACAGTCAGTGAGAGCCCCAGAATGAGACCGTCCATCCATGTCCATGAGGGGTCATAGCATTAAACAACTAGCCAACCTGGTTAGCTTTTGCTTTCTGCTAAGTCATCCATCTCTTCAGATAGCGTTAGCTCCTGACCAATCCATATTAATTTGGTCTGTGAGCTGGCAATAGGTTATCATCAAGCTCTAGTCCATTACGAGTCAATTCTTTGGCCAGCTTTAGCTTCACACCTAGCCACAGTCCATGTTCATTTGGCCTGTTAGCAAGCATTTGCTTTCGGCCAACCTCTAATCCAACAAAATTTGATTGAACAACGGACATGAACTTCTCCCCATGCTGCAATCCGCGATGACTGGGTCTGTTAGCTTGCATAAGCTTTCCAACAGGCCATAATCCAAGTCGATTCATTCTGTTGGCTAGCATTAGCTTCAAACTCTAATGGTCCGTACGTCCCAGGTGTCTGTCACTCTCCCGCTCTCAGCTCCAGAGACAAAAGTTACTGGTTGTTTGGCAGGTCGAGCCTTTCTCAGCTGGGGACAGGTAAAGCTTGCCGTTGGCGCAGGAACAAAGCTCGTACACAGTCTGTTTGGTGTAGGTGGTCCCTGCCGGCGCCCCTTCCAGGGGGTCAACAGCACTGCCCAGGGGAATGTTGCCCAGTCTGATGGTGTTGGCATCTAGAAAGATCTGTGGACATAAAAAGAGAGATGATTCAGAAAACTTTGTAGAACTGTAGTCCCAGAATTATGAAAAAGAAAACAAATATATTAAACTGATAAAATATGTATGAAACATGACCAAAAGTCGATGTTATAGCTGTCGGGAACTGAGCTCACACAGGTTTTATTTGTTCTTAAAATAACACAGAACAGAAGCAAGGGATGTTTTAAAAAAAGGAATAGAAACTGGGGTTTTAGATACAGAGAGAAAGAGAGAGCACACTGCCTGGGGGATGATACTCTCTGTGGTCGACTGGGGTCGTCATCAAGAAAGATCTATAGAGACAAGAGACCGAATTTCTATTTAGAAGGGGTGTCCTTTGATGTGCAGGACGAGTGGGAGTGAACAAGGCGGAGGGCAAGACAGGTGGAGAAAACCAGGGGAATAAGTGGAAGGCTTGTGAGGGGGAGATGGAGTTACGGGGAACAAAAGACAGCGGCGAACAGAAGGATACAAAACACACACCGAGGACTAAGTATTTAAGCATTGGATAGAAAACTTCAATTTCTTGTGTGCAGGGACAGTGAAGTTATCCATTTGGTCATCTTTGCAGTGATTGGACTTGAATGTATGAGTGCACAGTTCATTGACTGGAGTTCCAAATATTGGAGGAAACTTGCAAAGCGGTTTTCTTTACTGATTTCCAATGAAAACACCTTTAAGCTCTTGGAGGAGTTTCAATGAGCCTGGTCTGAAGCGCTGACAAAGAGTTGGTAGTAGCCAATGACTTCAACAGATCAGGTGCCCAGTCAAGTTTAAATTACAGCGCCGACATAAAAAACAAACGTGCGATGCACAAAACAATGGCAAAGATCCCTTTAAGGGTAACTACACCCTAAAGTTTCGGCTTTGACGTCTCTGCTCCAGATTCTCCTGAGCTGTATCATTTTAGCAGCGAGTTCTGAGACAGCTGATGCCGAGGACAGTGAGGTGCAGGATAGGATGGAGGATGTTTCTGATCGGTAGACGCTGCTCTCTAGAGGATTTAAATGTTATGGATTTAACACTTTGAAACAAACAGCCCCGTTTTTGCAATTTGCAATCGCAATATTTCACGATAAGCCGCTCAGATTTCAGTTATAATCAATCTGCACAATTCTCTCAATCTACTCCCCACAGTTTGATGAGTCGGGTGGCGTAGTTTTTGGGGTTTTTTGACGAAAGCTGGCACCAAATATGTCACCTGCCTCCAGATGAGCCAATAGAAAAATCTAATTGCAGTAGCCACTTTCAACCTGTAGGGGGCGATCACTATGCATATTCCTAACACAATATGTAGAATTTAAACACTTTGTACTAACATGTTGCGATATGGAGAGTCTGGATAGAAGGACTTTATGGATGAGGTCTACACCTGGCCCATGGTGTAGCTCATACTCTTACTGCAAACCTTGTCTTTACCATAAACTTCAACAGAAAGAAAAACCAGCAAACATGGGACCACCTACAGGTGTGGAGGGTCGTCACATTTAACATCAAGAAATTGAAGTTTATGAATGAAGATGATTATTTAGTTCAATTCTCTGACAATGAAGTAGAACAATATCCTTTTCTTATACTACTTTATAAACAGAAGTAATTTCAGAAATGGTGAATTTTGGCAGATGGGTATGCAGTATATATATATATATAGTATCTAATCCTGGCATATTTAAAAAGAGTAAATAAATGTGAGACAGGAACAAAGCTCACAGAACATTTTCAGTGTGAGTTGCATGTGTGAACATCACAGTCGACTTTTTCACAAGTAAAAATACACAGAGGTTTTCCTGCAAGTTCCCCGTTTAAATTTCAGCATGAAGTGGAAGTGAGCTGATGTGAGAAATAAGCAGGAAATATTGCCATCTCCTTCACGTAATGTAACTGCTTCATACTGGCCCCTTAGATCATTTCAGCAACTTTCCTCGTTCTCCTCAATTTTGACCCCAAATGGCCCTCATCCCTCCTGATCCTCGCTCTCCCCACAGTCCTTCAGTCTACATCTTCTCATCTTCAAAGTAAAAACAAACTGTGTTTGAAATGAGAATGCTTTTTTTTCACTGGTTTGTTTTTCTCTTTGTTTTACTTTTCGATCCACAATGTTCAATGAAGCGCGGCTCTCTGGCCCTCTCTCTTGTGCTCACAAACCCCTGAGGGTTGGACGCTAATCTCGGCAAACATCTGCATCCCAGTTATTCATGTTCTTCACTTTAGAAACGAGGAGATGGAAAGTGAAAGCTAAACATAAGTGCAAAAAGAGGAGAGGAAGAAAGAGCGAAAGATTGGAACTGAGATGAATTCAGATAAAAGGATGGGAGACAGATGACGGAGAAGAAGTGGCTGGAAGAGGATAAAGGGTTGGAGAGAAGATGAGGGAAAGAAGAAAGAAGAAGATGAAGGATGAAGGATTCACATACCCCAACAGCAAGGAACCAATTAGTATAACTAATGATTTCACATTGGCTGACGGGGCACATCTCCATCTGTATAAACAACATCCACACTCTCTTTCTGCATGATGGAGCAGAGTAAAGGTATGCTCATGTTTCCATTAAATATCTGCAGGGCTAAAAGCTGCACATCTATTAGCCATTAACCTGAAGATAGATAGACTAAAGCCCGAGCAGAATAGCCTGCGGAGGTAAATATAGAAATGGTGCCATTCCCAGTAGAGCCTAGAAGCCTCCTGAATCACCTCCCTTAAATCCCCGACACAAAGGGGCTTTATGTGTTTTAATCTATCAGCGACGGGTCAGTCGCTCATTGAATAAGCTGTTTAACTCCAGACCAATCCAAATGTTTTTATAAAGCACATTTAAAAGCAACAAAACTGCTGCACAATCAATCATAAAGACTCATTAAAAACAAATAAAACACAGTGACCGATGTCAAAACCACGGGACAATAACAAGTAGAAGAGCCCCCGGTGGCTTGTTGCAGGATCAGCACTATTAAATGGCAACAACGAGTTGCAGATTTGGCGTATTGTCCCTCCAGAAGTAAGACCCTCCCTCCTAGGGTGAGACGCTCTCGTTGTCACCGCCATGTTTGTTTTGCTGGTACATAACTCGACTGAGGCTGCATCTGCACAGAGTCAGCAGCTGCTAGAATCCGGTTTAAGACTGATTAATCGGACAGCCAATAGTATCCACAGACATTAGCTTATACAATGACTATTAGTATCGGCAATTTATTACAGATATGCACCGGTATTACTAGATGTATTCACCAGTCAAATAGCATTAATTTGAGTTTCATTGTATTACACTAGCAGTTCTCTTTGACCAGCAGAGGGCGCTACAAGCATCATCACTCTGGAGAGAGTCGAGCGGTGATGCATGTACATGCTCAGTTACTTTCTAGTTGAGTGGCCATCTTGTCTTCATTTAATATATTTTCCACAAGTGTTTGATAACTGCATTTGAGGGATCAACGCAATATATGTTTTAATTCATATCTATCTATTTCTACAGATTTCATAGATCCAATATCGCTATCAGTATCGGCCCAGAAAATACCCATTTCTGTTCTTGCCTAAGTAGCAGAATTGGAATAAAGCTTATCCTGCTTTCTGGAATCGGGATATGATGTTTACATGCACAAACGGGATGCTTAAAAACCTGAACCAGGATACTCAAGTCTGTGTTAACACACTGATGGTTTCAGACCACACTGGTGAAGCACTGAAGCATTTATTTAAATAAACAATCCAAAAGTCAAGACCATTTTTTTGTATTCATTTGATTCCCACACTAATCACAATTAATCAATTTTTAAATATATACAAAATAACACAATCTTACCAATGTCTTAAAGAAATCAATCGTTTGACAGCCGGAGAAAAACAAAACGACTCATTGTCCGATCCTGAGTGCTGCAGAGAGATCAATCAAAGCTTTGCATTATCCGCATAAAAAGTCCTCTTTCCACACAAGATGTGTTTCTCTTCAGGTTGTCGGTTATTTAAGAAGAATAAAAACTCAAAGAAGAGGCAGCTTAGCGAGCCTCTTTGAAGCCATCGGGTACAGCTTTCTCATTAGCCTGCAGTGTCTGCTGGTTTAATAAGACACAGTCACACTTAAAGAGGGAGTAAAAACGAATATGTGCATGTCTCGCCTCGTGTGCTTGGCAAAAGAAAACTACCACACTACATCTCTAAATGTCAAGGTATGCCTTTAACAGGTCCCTGGTGCACACCTGTCATCTTCCCTTTGGCTGCCCGTTAAAGCTGCCAGGCCTCAGTTAGAGCCTCACACAGGAAAGGACTCAGTCATGCTTGACAACATAACCCAAATCTAATTCCAACAGCCTGCTCGCCATAGCAAGGAAAACCTCAAATTTAGTTGAGCGTGATGACAGGATGGGAGCATGAAGAGAGTTTGGTTGCGTGTTTATGTGAAGAACTGCCAATAACATTACTGGTTTCTTTTCCAAAGCACTGGAAACATCTTGGCAACAAGTTAAACGAAAAAAAGAACAGAGAAGGAGTAAAGATGGAGGTAGAGGAGGCGGGATTGAGGGCTGGATGGAGAGGTAAGGTTTGAAGGAGGATGCAGGAAAGAGGCAATAAGGAGAGATGAGGAAAGGCGTTGGATGGACAGAGAGATTGGCGAGTGGAAGGAGGGAAGGGGAGTCATTTGTTGTAGTTTAAGGTTGGATTAGCGCTGACATTCATCCCAAATGAAAGTGTCTGTAAGTATTAGGTCAGCCTGTTGTAAGCTGTGTGTGAGGGTCTGTACATGTGAAAGTGTGTATGTGGAGAGGTGTGTCTGTGAATATAATCTGAGTGGAGTGTATCTTCATGTATTCAGAGACATGCCTGCATTGTACATGCATGTGTGTGATGTGAGTGCAGATGTTTGTACTCTGATACATTTAAAACATCAATCAGTAAGATGTGTAGTGAGTGAAATGATAAAGTGACCTTACTATATGATCAGACATTAAGGAAACATGCTATGTTGAAGTGCTGGCTTCTCTGATAACAA